TACTGCTAAGTTGAACAAAGTTTCTGTACAACTTGAACGTGAAGTAGAAATAAATGCAGATGCAGTTGCAGAAGTTATGGATATTTGTGAGACCGTCAGTGTGAGTGATCAGCATGTAGCCCACCTATCATCAGACGCTAGTGCTAAACCCGAACTAGTAGTGAAAGACAGCAGTGGTGGTAATCTTGCAGTTGGACAAATATCTGAGAGCCGAACAAGAACAGCTTCTGATCCACCACTAAGTTCATCACCTTGTGTCACTCAGTCATCGTTGGTGCTGTCATCCACAATGAAACAGACACCCATCAACTCAAGTACCTTGTGCAATGACTATGCTAGTATCAGTTCGTTTGAAAGGACGAATATCAATGGTCAGTTTAGTGTGGATAAGCCAAGTGTAAAGGAGAGAGTTATTGTTAAATTGACTTGCGCGAATAAAGGCATTTCTAGTTTCAAGTTACTATTTGAATGTTATTATCTTTGGTGTAAATTACTCTGTTTCAATACTTGGTTGATGAGATATGTCGTATATTTGTTCGTCATCTATATTCTACGATACAATGACATGGGCGTGTTACTGTTCAGATTTGAGGATATAGCTGATAGAAGGAAGTTAGCAAATGAACTCTGCGACGATTTTCCAACCTAGGGCGTCAACCTGAGAAGGGTTGTAGGCGTACTGGTGTAAGTCCTACAGTTCTTCAAAGGGTAGCGCATCAATGAGCAGCCCAACGTGCTTGGTGTATGATCTTGTACATATGTTCATATTGCATATACTGAATTGATATCATCTGTCATCTAGCTGTTGGTAATTCTGTTTGTGTCCGGACGACTTCCACTTGGATCATCAACCTGAGAAGGAATGTAGGCGTACTCCTGTAAGTCCTACAGTTCTTCAAGGGTAGTTTGTCGTGCCAGAATCCACCACTTTTGATGTGTTGATTGTACATATGTTTGTGTTAAATAATTGTGTGAGTTCCAATTATTGCAATTGTTGGTTAATCTTGTTTGTGTCCGGACATTCTTCATCCTTCAATCGTCAACCTGAGAAGGGTTGTAGGCGTACTGCTGTAAGTCCTGCGATTCTTCAAAGGAATTACATCGAGACGCGATCGGTGAGGTGATGCGTACTGTTTGTATATATGTGTGGTGTGTCATATCAATTGGTGGTGTTTTGGATTCATTGTGTTTACTCGTTGTTTTCGTGTCTTGTTGTTATTGCGTAAATTTGTTAAAATTTTCGTCGTGATTACTTCTGAAGTTGTTTCTAGTCTTCTACATCCGTGAATGAATTGATTGATGTTAAGGACAGCAGATGGGTCGTATACGCCGGGGAGGCTAGGCTATTGCTGAGAATGAAATGCACACGGAGATAATTGTTAGCTGCGGTCCGACACGCCGGGGAGCGGGAGGGTAAACGACTGAGGCTCGCATGCGTCACCGCTATTAGAACTGAGGCAGAATGAGTGACAAGAAATTTCAGTGGTAATTGGTAGTGAGTAGATAAGAGGATGTGCGTAGAGTATCGTGAGGTGGTGCTATGGTCACATTGCATTCTGCAAGATTCATTCTAGCATATGGCAACTGTGTTGCAAGATGTCAAGAGGAGGTCTCTGTCTGGACGCGCAGGTCTTCATTGATGTGTGAGATTTTGCTGTGGGTATGCCTGTGGTGTGTTGGCTTTTCTGTTTGTTTTCCATATCAGCTCGGTCCGTGTGACCCAGGTTCTCGCAATGGCATCCAAGTCGACGTGCATTGGTCGTGAAGGAAAAAAGGGTTGGATCCCTTTTTGCCGGGGAGTGTCAATGGAGTTGAAGATTGAACGATCAATTCTTGGTTGTTTGCTCAAAATCAACTTCCTCGATTTTCGCGGAGGCATCAATACGACAGTCATCGTCTCATCGGTCGCTGTTCAGAAAGAAGAGTGAAACATCGTCAGAAGTAACATAACGATTTATTATTGTAATATTTGTTTACAGACCTTAGTTGCTTAGTTCGTTTATTCCTTTTATATGTTGGTGTAACAATAAAGAAATAACAAGCGGCAGATCGGTGTTTTGGTTTTTGCGTCCGTTATTACTAAGCGTTTCTGAAACTCAAAGGAACAGCGTGGGCCCGAGCGTAGAGAGAGCTGGGCATTAACGGTTTATGAGACGAGACTGACAAACGTCTTTACTTGATCCTCATTATATTCCATTAAACCTAACATTTTATAGCGCTTTATGAATTTGATTCGACTTATTCTATTCCTATTCTCTGGAGGGTACGGTTGTGCACCAAATAGACATAAAGGCATGAAATAAAAACAACTGGCTTGAAAATAATTGTATTAAAGCCAGAAGTGGACATCATGATAGTACAAAATATATTGGTTTTATTATACATTGCAAATCAACGTTGTCAGCCTAAGGATTAATTACTTCCCCATTCTGTTTTCTACATAAATGTGTTTATTAATGATATATTTCACTCACTTAATCTATTACACTTTAATGTTTCACCTTGGCACTTTAACTTTTCTAAAACAGCTTCCAATCCCTTGTAAACGTTGTACTTATCTCAATATTGGTTGCTTATCGTATGCCTACAACCACGGGATGAAAACGAAACGAAGTCGATTTTCCCGCCCAACCTGGAGGACAACTGTACAATTCAATAACTATACGGCCTAGTTCAGACAATGAGTGTAATTATATATATATATCCAATATTTAACAGTTGAAACATTATTAACTTGTAGACAATTTAAGATTTGACATTATAACATACTTGATCGTGCCTGTAAAAATGGCATGCATTTTCAGGTAAATTTATGTTTATATGAAAATAAAATTATTAAAATTGTGAAAATAGAATGAATCAGTAGCTAGCGTATTTACCATCTCAATATGCACAGCTCTCATTTTCAAACAGGTGAATAAACAGCCATATCTTTTACATAGGGTTCTGCCTCTCTTCACTACAAAAGGTCCGAACCAATCCACCCCAACTTACTCAAATGGATAATTCCATTCAGAAGCTTGCCACGCTGGGAGTGGTGCCATCATCTGCTGTACTGGACGAGCATTTCGGAGTTTACATTCTATGCACTTATCAATTATTTTACGGACAGCGGTACCTCCTTCCACTATCCAGAACTTACATCGAATACTTGATAGTACTTGCGAAGTACCCAAATGACCTTCAAGAACATGGTAGTGTCTTGTAATGAGATCAGTGACTGGATGGTAGCAAGGTAATAAAGCCGGATGACGGGTCTCATATAACGATTCTAACATTTGTAGACGTCCACCAACTCTATCGATCCCTTCGGAAACTATCGGAGATAATCTATCTAACCGCACCTCGAAATCTGCGAAATCGGGGCTATCCTTTTTGGCAATCTCACCCCACGCTTCCCACTGAGCAGCCTTCAAAACCGCCAACTCTGCATTTCTAATATCTTTGACTCTCAAAGGCCCCACATTCATATTTTCGTATTCCGCAAGATGCATGACCTTTGAATACGTAACACATCGTGTCAACCACGCAACAGCTTTCAGTCATTTGTACCAAGAAGAATAATATTTAAAAAGTGGATGTAAACCTGAATGTCTTTCTTGAGTAGATGTTAAACTGACACTTGTCTTCAACTCCAAGACACACTCGTTTATCGGTGGTTCATCTTCTCTACGAGGCCACATACTATCAGCCCTTAGCAAGAACTCTGGACCTTTCCACCACTTATTTTTAACAACATTCATATCAATAACTCCTCGCGAGGCTAGATCAGCTGGGTTTTTTCCAGACGGTACGTACCTCCACTGCTCAACAGTTGTTAGTTCACGGATTTGAGATACTCTGTTAGCTACAAAACATGCATATCTTGCTGACTTGTTGCGTATATAATATATCACAGACATCGAATCAGTCCAATACGTTACGGGATACTTGGGGTAATCCAACTCTTTACACACCGTTGTGAATAACTGCGCAGCTAGTAAGGCTGCAGTAAGTTCTAATCTCGGAATCGAAACCGTCTTTAGAGGTGCAACTCTAGATTTACCCATCACCAGGCTAACATCTATATCATTCCTTAAGGTGGTTCTGATGTATATGGCTGCACCAAATCCAACCTCAGAGGCATCAGAAAAACATGGAAGTCAATTATATCATGATTTCTCGACGGCTTAAGTGGACTTGAGACGGAATGTAGATTCAGAGTTCTTAAACTGTTAACCCACCCCTTCCACTCTTCTCTCTGCCTCTCACTTAATGGTTCATCCCACTGTAACCCTTTCCTGCATGTCTCTTGAAATAACCTCCTAGCCGGAAGTAGATAAGGTGCTACTAATCCAAGTGGGTCAAACACGGACGACAACACAGAGAGCACGCCTCTCCGACTAACTGGCTTATCAATATCACCAACACTAAATCCAAAGGTATCAGAGTTCACATCCCATCGCATATCTAATGTGCGTTCAACTGGTAGAGTATCAACAGGCAAATCTCATACAGTAGGTGCCCTGTCTTCTGGAACTATATGCTTCAAAATGTTTAGGCTGTTTGAGACCCACTTAGTTAGACGAAAGCCGGCCTTAGCTAACACTTCAGTAATGCTTGTTGCAAATCTAACTGCAGACTTATCTGGTAGATACTGGATATGGTCGCATCATTGTAGGGTCTCTTGAACGGGGTGGACTCCTACTAACTGCATGGCATTCTCGCCGACTTTCTTCCAGTCTTGTTCGAGAGAACAGGTTTGACCTATGGCGTATTCCCGAAAAATTGTTTCTTTCAGTGCGGCAACGTTGGGAAGAATACGTATCGGGGCGAGAAACCACGGATAATTTACGATCGTCGAAATCATTACGGTGACTATGATAGGGTTCAGGATGATGTGTTGATTCACTTTGATGAGATCTGTCATCATTTGCTGACTTAAATGAATTTCTTCCTGCATACAGTGGCTCTTGCGTCTCTCGCATGAGTCGACTAGATTCATAGGATCGAGCAGGAGACTAAGGATGATGATGTCTGCGTTGATAGAAATCAGAACGATGTGTCTCGCGAATATCTTTCTCCACAGGACGTTCATTACGGAAGGGTGCAACATGCTTCCTGGTAGTAGGTGGACCCATTTGGGATAAATAAGGGGACAAGGAAGAATGACCCCGGTCATGTTCTGAATAGGTATTTGAGTTTGTACGGGCATTTGCCAAATGTGATTTTGATGACTGTCGAGTAAGAGTGGGTCTTCTGCGAATCTGATATGACTCAGTTACTCTGCGACTAGTATAACCCTGTCTTCTATGCGAAAACGGTTGTGCACCATGATTGCATCTGGCTCGTGTAGATGTCTGTCTTTGTGGCGTACCTTGATAGTACGAAGCTTGTGGCAAACGACCTCGAGGACGCAAATTATCCTTTGACATCCCGTATTTTGGCCTAGTCAGCTGGCGCGCAGACATTGAGTTTGGACTACTCTTGGAAGAGTAAGGTGGAATTTGGGTGGATAAAATCTCTGATTTCCTACGTTGTTCTCTAAGCATAGCGTTCCTGATTGCGATACGACGAAGTTGGGTCCTTCTGTTTGCAATATAAAGTCTTCGATAATCAAGGAACTGGATTCTATTTGCTGAGGACTGGGCACATTCGTAGTTTTTACTTTGTTCAACACAGATGCTCTACCATTCGGCTTTCTTGACGAAGTTGGTGCTTTGCGGTCCATTAATTCAACCCTCAGAATGCAACCCCCGAATTCGGTTAGATCATAAACTAAAGCAGTAGCAGCAGCGTCCTCTGCAGAAGCCATCCGTACAAATCCAAAACAGCTACCGGTAGTACGGGTACTCACAACCACGGTTGCTGATATCACCTTCTCCATTTTGCTAAAGTGTTTTTTTAGATCTGCAGCCTTCACTGATGTTGGCAAGTTACTTATCCACAAGTTCTTACGATTTTCTTGCACGACAAATGACTTATTTAACTGGGACACACCACTAGTCTGCTGCGTGACAATGGAACTTTCTGGTTTTTCTTCAAGTTTACCAGGCTCTCCGGCAGTGCACTGAACATTCTTGCAGGAAATTATATTCTCACATATGCCATTGCTTTCACTTTGTGGGTTGTAATCTAAATCTTCTTCCTGCTCGCCAACTTGAACAACGTATGGGACGGACTCTTCAGTTATTTTTTTCTGCACACACTGATCACTGATCGTAAATGTATCACTCAACACATCATTTGACGGATCACGCCCTTCGGTAGAAGGTACTTTTTCATGCTCGTGTGCGTCACCATTTATGGACCAGCGATCAGAAGTTTCCGGGACAAGCCTCATGCGCACATCTTCATTCTTGAAACGATAGGTTTGTGGATCATGGCCATCTCTTTCTGGAGTCTCCTTCAGGCGATCGAGCAACACTTGTTTTACGCCCGTCTTATCTATGTTGCGCTTTTCTAGCTCTCTGCGGAGCTCTGCAAACTTGAGGTCAAAGATTGGCCGTCCGTCCATCCCCACTTGTATTTTTGTCGCGAACAGATCATCTCTACCTCCGAATCTATCTTCTAATACCTTGTGAGCTTCTGGCACACTACATCCAATGAGTACTCTCACTCTTCCATCTTGCAGTGTTGGAAGAGGTATGTCACACAGGTATGGCTTACCGACAACCGTTTCACAACTAGGTACTATAGCCTCGCCAAGTTTCATACTGGAGGTAGTGTAAGCAGTATCCAGTTCCACGGTTTCCCCAGTAGCCAAGGATTCTACCTGAAATGACACTCGTTCACATACTACTGTTTTCGCAGAATTGAAAGTATTTACAACCAAGGGTTGCTTTGGGCCTTTAATACCCAAGCAACCAGCCAGTTCAGCATCTATCAATGTAACGTCCGAACCATTATCCAACAATGCATAAGTCTCTACTGAAGATTTCGGTCCTTTCACCTTAACTGGTAATACCCCTAAGAAAACTTGTGGGGTGTCAAGGGGTCTAGAGATACAATTACGGTTAACCGAATTCCCAGGTTCGTTCACTGTCGTCAGAAATGGGTGCATATCCGTTAAACCACTACTTCCCTTGTTTGTCGCCTTACAATTCCACTTTGTATACCCAATCTTTAAACAACTGAAACACAGCCGCTTCTGCTTTGCCATTTTTAACCTTTCTACGGGTGACATAGTGATAAAGCGATTACAATCACTCGATTGATGCATGTTATGGCAAACAATACACTCATCCTTCCTCGTTGTGTCTTGAGACTTCACCACAAATGCCTTCCTTATATTCACTGGTTCAATAGGTTCTAGCTTAGAATGCAAAATGCTGGCGAATTTGCCCATCGCCTAGTTGACACTGTCCTTCACCAGTCTCAGAATATCATCAAACCTTGGCTCGATACCCTCATCCTCTATACGAGAGCTTATTTTCACCCACTTCCTTTGCAGCCGAGTAGGTAGGTGTCTCGCAATTAACTCTACGACTGAGCTAGAGTTCAGGTCACTCATGCAATTCATAGAAATCAAGGTATTGTTATCAGTCATCAGATTATCCAAAAACTCAGTAAGTGCCTTGGAGTCATTTGAAGTTGATTTCCGTTACCATTGACAGCTTCGTATACATTCCTTACAATCATCGAAGTTCTTCCAAAACTTTCAAGTAATATGCTCATAGCCTCAGCGTATCCCTCATTATGGGCCTGAGCTTACAGTACTGTATAGCTCTTGAAGCATCTCCAGCGCAATACCTCATTAAATACATCAATTTCAATTCATCACTTAATAAAAAACTACTCAGCATGATCTCAAACTCCTTTACAAATTGTAAATAATCAGCCGGGTTTCCGTCGAAACACCGTGGTTCAAATTTAGGGAGTTTGATGTACCCATTATCCCTGAACGGCGAAACAGTAACATCAACCATGTCAGGCTTAACATCAGACACATCGTTACAATTAACAGACAAGTCACCATGACTTACTTTCCTGTTTGCATCCAAGACGCTCTGTCCCTTCTTTGACCCAGGCATTGTTGAACTTGACCCAATTCCAAAAACGTTCCAGGTATTGCTTGTTCAAAGAGGACTTGACCGGCACCAGGAAAGATGAACGTTGACTATCCAAAGTCGTGCCAACTGTCCAAAACCGTTTAAAAACTGACGATGATCCGTCAGAAACTGTGAGCCACGTCTCGTGAACCGTTAATGCCCAGCTCTTGCTATACTCGGGCTCACGCTCTTCCCTGAAGTTTCTCAGAAACGCTTAGTAATAACGGACGAAATAACCAAAACACCAATTGGCGACTCGAGGATTCTTTATTGTAACACCAACATATAAGCACTCTTACAACTAAGTTCTGTGAACAAATATTACAATAATGAATCACAATATTACTTCTGAAGGTTTACTGCTGACTTCTTTGTGAACAGCGACCGATAAGACGATGACTGTCGTATTGATGCCTCCGCGAAAATTGGGGAAGTTGGTTTTGAGCAACCAACCATGAATTGATCGTTCAATCTTCAACAACATTGACAGTAGGACTTACAGCAGTACGCATACAGCCCTTCTCAGGTTGACGCCCTAGGTTGGAGAATCGTCACAGTGTTCATTTGCTGACTTTCTGCTCTCAGCTAATGATGGATTTTCAGTGGTTATTTTAAGATTTTGACGGTGGAGAGCATGCTGACATGGGTAATGTTCTGACCATCTCTAGTGAAGAAGGTGAACAAAAGTGCAGGACACTGGAGGGCAGGGGCATTCCTTATAACAATTTTTTCTTTGCTGAAAAGGATTTAAGTTCATACCTTCACTCGGGGGTGCAGTTAGGAGAAATTCGCATTTGTGACCACCATCAGATCTGCTAAATAATATGCTTCTCGCAATGGATCGCTTCGCTTTTAACTCAATCATACACCACACAGTCTCTTTCTACATTACCGACTATCTCAACAAGGATTTGCCAACAGGGCACCATACACATGGGTATATGACAATGTATTTATTCCTGTCCATGTCGGTACACATCATTTGCAAAGGCATGAGTAAGTATCACCTAAACTACATAATTTTATCTGTGGTAAATTTACAGGGTTTCTGTACTTCTTTGACTTTAGTTTATTGAAAAAATCTGCTAACTAGTCATTCAATTGAGCACATTAAGAAATCTCGGAATACTCTCTTTGCATTAACAAACAATCCACGTATGTGTCGGGTGGATCACAAACATTTGGGGAAAAATAAAGTTTGAAGTCGATTTCTTTATATAACTCAGCCGTGTGCAGCGTCAAATCGTATGTTTTCAAAATTTATAGTCAGGTAGTGTATCAGTCTAAAATTGTACCAAGCGGTGTACTGTATGGTGCTCTAATCGACTCCATAGTACTTATTCCTATATCAGCGAATTGTTTCGCATCACCAAATCACCTGTGGTTCTCCAAAAATGTAACCTTAATATTCGGATTTAATAATAATAATGTATTTTCAGTTTTATGTACATGAGGGACGGCAGTTTAGCGACATCATCAATATGGTAAATTGCATATACGATTAGTAAGCATATTTAGTGGTAGTAATGATAATGTAATAGGATACATATGTATTCCTACCCACGTAGGACACAAATTGTACAGGCATGGATAAGTATTATTTAAATTACACAAATTTGGTTTATGGTGAAATTACATGGTTGTTGTCCTTTTGCCTTAAGTTTGTGGGAATAATTTCATAACCAGTGATTCAATGGATGATATAAAAAGATACAGAAATATTGACTTCATATTAACAGAAGACCTAAGTATACATTGTGTGGATTACCAATACTTGGGAAAAATTAGAGCTGAAGGGTTTCAACAACGTGCTTACGTTGCAAATAAATCTCAGTAACCTGTTCAGTCGATCCAAATAACGCATACATCTACTTCGTGGGTGTGGTCAGTAGATTTACTAGGAGTGTTCTCACGAACTTCGAGACCCATTAAAGTGTTACTGCTCCTTTTGGGTTTCCCTTTGCCTTCGCTTGTCGTTTGTTCACCTACTAGAGTGCAAGTGTCACTTTGTGCTTCAGTGTCCTTCGACACTTCGCTACTGACGCTATTCACGATTTGTGGTATAATCGTGTTCGTATCTATGGTGTTGTCAGCCACGTGGCCTAAACCGTTAATTACCAGCTCTTGCTGCACTCGGGCTCACGCTCTTCCCTGAAGTTTCTCAGAAACGCTTAGTAATAACGGACGAAATAACCAAAACACCAATTGGCGACTCGAGGATTCTTTATTGTAACACCAACATATAAGCACTCTTACAACTAAGTTCTGTGAACAAATATAACAATAATGAATCACAATATTACTTCTGAAGGTTTACTGCTGACTTCTTTGTGAACAGCGACCGATAAGACGATGACTGTCGTATTGATGCCTCCGCGAAAATTGGGGAAGTTGGTTTTGAGCAACCAACCATGAATTGATCGTTCAATCTTCAACTACATTGTCAGGTTTTCTCAGGTTCTTTCGTTGTTTAGAGGTTTTGTGCCGGACTGTTTTAAGAGTTTTATATTTTGTAGTGGAATCGAAAATGTCCTCGGATTTCCTGAATTGTTCGGCTATAATACATCTCTCAAACCTGAAATTTATGGGACATGTGCGTTTTGTTGCTTTTTATTTAGTCTAATACACTGACAGTGTGTACATTATTATTATTTTATTACTGCAGAAAAGTGCGCAGCCTTGGGCACCGAGCACGCAAGTGTATGCGAATACTATGTGGAAGGGGTACTTCCCCTTTAAGTTCACATGTACACTTCTTTTTGAGTGGTGGTAAACCATGGCTTGAAAACTACCACAAACTATCGCCTCCGGTGGTGGATTTTTCTCCTTATAGAATACGCAAAGCCATTACTAGAACTAACAGTGATACTTTACATACACCTATGGTGAGAAAAACGGCTCAAAAATCACATTTAAGCAACTGGCTCTTGCCTTAAAAAGAGACTCGTAAGTATTAGGAGTTCAGAGAAAGGAAATACGTGTGATTCCTAGTGTGACCGACTTATTATTTGCAAAACGAATTCACAGATTTAATCCCCTCCTCATGTTCGCAGTTCAGTGATCCCGAAACCTCTGTGGGTAGGCCGGGGAAGCCCCAATCTGAATTAACAGTCTGCTACACAAACGCTCGAGTCTGTTAAATGAACGGACTGAGCTGCTTAACATGACAGACTCCGGAAACCCGGATGCAATTATTATCACAGAGACATGACTCACACTCGATGTCACTGACAACGAAGTTAACCTGACAAACTTCGAAGTGCATAGGGTGGACCGACTAAACCGCGAAGGAGGTGACGTAGTCGTCTACCTCAAAAAATGCTTAACCGTGCGTAGTGTCGAGGCACCAGCTCACGAAAGTGAGTCGTGCGAACTTCTGCGCTGCAGACTTAAATGCATAGGCCAAGACATTGACCACATTGCTGTGTACCGCAGTCCTGACTGCAGTGCAGATGACTTCCTAATAGAGAAGCCAGGCCCCTGGACTTCCAAATGTCGAAGTCTCGTAGTTGGTGACTTCAACGCCCCAACAGTTGACTGGTCGAGCCTAACAACTGTGCGTCGGTGGCACAGTGGTTAGGACTCTCGCCGACCATGCACATGGTCCGGGGTTCGAGCCCACGCCGGCGCACACCTGATATCTATGGTTGGCCTGCGAAATTTGGGCTACCGATATCCATGCTGAAAATTCCATACTTGTACCAAAAATACGGTGTGGAATCAAGCTGTAAATAAAAAATAAAAAAAATAAATAAAAAAAATAAAAACATCTTCAGTCAACTCCTTTGATCGTAAACCGCTAGAATGCAGTATATCGCTAGCCCTGGTTCAACATGTCATTAAGCACACGCGCTATGACTCACAGCATTCCTCGTCAACTCTGGACCTAGTGTTCTCCCGCGGTGAGGATGCGGATCCCATACAACATCTTCCTCCGTTGGGAAAAAGTGATCATGCTCAGTTCAGACTCAATTGGACTTAGGTGTCATAGTTAGCCACGACTTAAAAACTACAGCACACTGTCACGCAGTGGCTGCACGTAGTTTCAAGTCCTTATGGGCGATTCGCAGAGCCTTTACTCGATACGTTCACCTCCTTATATACATCTCTGGTGAGGTCAAGACTGGAAAACTTCATCCAGGCCGCCAGTCTTTGTCTAAAAGGGGACTCACGTTCTAGAAAGGGTTCAAAGGAAGGCAACACGTATGGTTCGCGGCATGACTAACTTATCATACGAGGAAAGACCAGACAGTTTAAATCTCTTCTCACTGTCATACCGTAGGCAGACAGGAGGTTTAATCACAATGTTTGAAATTTTAAATAATGACTACGGACCTGACCTATTCCCTCCTTTCCTTCCCACCGGGTCGGAACACCTTAGGGGACATAGCAGGAGAGTTCAAAAGCAAAGAAGAAATCATATTGCTGTTGAGTACTGGTTCTCACATCGAGTCATAAACTCTTGGAACCAACTCTCAGGAGAAGTGGTGTCTGCAACCTCAACTGATTCGTTCAAGAAGGGTTTAGACAACCACAGAAATCTACTAGAAAAGGAGTAACATAGGCTCCAAGCCTTCTATCCCCAGCCAATAAATCTGAAATCTGATGTCAAATAATGCACAAATGAAGGACCTATTGACAATGTCTATAATCTTTAGGACTGACCATTAACCTGAATTAACCCCTTTTCCTCCGACCAGATATATACATCTCAAAGGACATAGCAGAAGTGTTGGAAGCCAAGGATGAACTATACCACTATGGAATACTGGTTATGCCGCTTGCTCATCACCTTGGAAAGTATTGGTAAGGCTGTAGATTAGCTATACTTTACCAGTCCATAATACCTCTTAGAACCAACATGCCAAAAAGCATTGCCTGAACCTTCAGTATACTTATTCAGGAATGAAATAGACACATACACAAACGTATTAGAAAAATGCTGAAAGGGAACCGAAATTATCCATCCTCGGTTCATAACCTGAATTTGTATTGCCTTCGCTGCTACGCAACACAGTTTGGTGTGAATTCAAATGTTTTCGTGACCATGTCAGAGAAAGTTAGAGATGCCCTCAAATCTGTAGCAGACTATATGTTTCTGAGCAGAAGCGCCCATGGAGTTGTATATTCAAAGAATAAACACAAAGGTATCTGTATAACACCCATTGTTACAATATGATGAGAATGTGAATATGTGACAAACTTACCTTTACAGATGGCATTTTACTTTAATAGCTTATACGCCCCATTCTGGTTTATTGGCACACTGATAACTCTCATAATAGAAGTAACTGTCTAATAAAACAGATATTATTGTTACGGGGATTTCATAGTTCGAATATTTGGACCCTATATATAAGGTGATCAATACATCTGTATTTGCATTATATTCCGTTTTGGAAGGCCTCCGACTCTATCTTGGTTATGCCGGCAATCTGATGGAGATGGTATGTCGGCATTAATTTACCTTCAGATTTTCAGGTCCCCGAATTAGCTGGATCTTGGTTACTGACTGTTTTAATACAGCTGCCTGCAATTTCCTTCATGCTGTTCAATACCCAAATGATACTTTCATCATTTGAGAGAACTTTTCATATCGTTGAGTTTATTTTTGTAGTCTTTGAATCGTTAGTTGGATTCTTCGTCTTAAAACTGATGGTTCAAATTCAGGCTCTAAAGTTTCATTCACACCTTCGATCCCGTAAGGTTGAAGCATTTGAAAATAAGTCTTTTGAGTACCAGCTTTAATTTCATACAATATACGTTTTGCCTTTTGTGTGTATTTTTCTTTATCCATGAATACGTCAGTGATCCATTGTTCACAGACCTACGACGTGTAAAACATCTAGTCTCTTAAGTGACTATAAGGTGTCTGAAACATGATTTTCTAGTTGGGAATTTCAAAATATGACTGTTTTGCAGAATAAGGAGGTTGCCATATAGGGTGTATGTAGCCATTCTTTTGCGGCAAATGTGTTTTTTGTTTCGGACGTTATCGACATTATCACCAATTGCTAAGAGATTTTAGGATGATTTTCACTTAAAATCAATTTATTGACTAATGTACTTACGTTTCTATGCATCACTAAGGCATCCAAGTAGTGAACTGTTGGAAAAACAATTTAATTTAGTAACATGAGACGCATACTTTTGGATGCATACTTAGCTGACTAGAGATCGTGTATTAACAATAAAATATAACAGAACAACCTTATGAAAAATGAATGTGCTTGACCTAGTGTTACCTATCTGACGAGTTCAATGAAATAATGACTTTCAGAAAGCTGTATTGGTGGAGGTGTGTACTATTGATTATACAAAGTTATTTACCACCACAGCTTATTCTCACCTATTGGAACTATACAAGCACTAGGACTTAACAATGGAAATAAAAAATCTAAAGACTTTGTAGTTTTCTGATTGATTTGTCAAGAGGAAGAAGCCCCTAATCTTCTGTTTAGCCCAAAGAGGTTAATGTATATGAATTGGACAAATGTCTTTCCTTTATTCTAAAGCTTCTTCTGCATCTTTTTTAACCGTCATTTCACACAGACCGCAGATCTGACAAACTAGGTACTTTGTCAGAAAGATCACTAAAACGGTGGTTTGAAACGTGAAAAATTACAGAATAATGTGAAATGTTAACACTAAGAAGTGTGTTTGATATATGATTCGTTACTTTTAAATGTAAGATGATACCACAGAATTGGTTTGTGCCGGCTTCTAGTTTAAGGATAAGAGGTGTGTGGACTGCATCACTTATCTACATCAACCCTAATAGATTAGTTGCCGACGAAATCTCAGTGCGAATCAAAAGGCTCACTTGACAACTATGAACCTGCGTCATTTTGATGCATAAGTGATATCTGGCTACCCTCTCATTCAGAGACTTGTGCGCTTTGTAGTACTTGTTTTGTTCTGCTTTGCTGCTGTGACAAAACCTATGCTGCTAGTGCATACTGAAGGAATATGGGCTTTCGATTGTGGGATTCTTCGGTAAATCTCTAGCTTTAAGTGAAGTAAGGTGATAGGCGCTGATGACGTTAGGATAAAGAGTGAAAGGCAGTCGATGAGGTTATGCAAACTCAAATTAAAAAAGTAGAGGCTCGTGCCACACATACTAAGAAGCTTTGATGAATGATGTTAGGTAGATTCATGGAATCTATCCATGAATCCACTAACTGTTGATCTGGGCCATGAATGTCAGTGTCAGCCATCTGATTGACGTCTTTGAGATGCTCAAAATGATTTACAGTAGACCAGGCGCATTCACTACTTGTTATCTTCTAGATTCTCAAATCCTTCAGTAGTCTTCATTCCAACTACTATCTCTTCTGTAGGTTTCCGCCCATAGTCTTTTTACTATACCTCTAGCCATTACTTCTGAGCATGCCGTTTTGTAGCACAGTGATTTTAATTCAAGGTTTTAAAGTGACTCGGTTTCTCCATGTATGACTAAAACTCCAAGCCAAGCAGCTTCGCTGTAATGTTTTAACAATTGGTTTTAGCAAAATAATGAGACTAAAACTTGATGAAATTGTCTTGCTTTTCAATGAAAGACTATTTCTGAAGGTTCCACAGTAAGAGCTAAGGCAAAATCACACAGAATTGTTCTGTAAGCAAAGGACTTATGGTATTTATTATTATTTCTAGGTTCAAATTACTCATTCTGATCAAATGATTTTCTGTGTCTGATGTTTTTCCCTGTTTCAGCAAATCTTATAAAGTTGTTCATTCTAGTTGTTATCCTTATACACAAATCATTTGGTCAAATTGGTGTGGAGTTTTCTGGAGATTGTAGCATTTCAATGGAGGAGTAAAATACACTTGATGGTTGAAATCAGAGGAAACTATAGTATGGTGCTATAGTATGTATACTAGTCTAAATCTAGAAATCATTATGATGCATAACACATATTTAGCAGCTACTTCACTTTTTCTAATAGAAGTGGGTCCTTGGACGCAGATTTATACATCAAGCACATTACCAATACGAAATCAGAAGAGAGATTTCTGTTTAAGTTCTGAGTAGATGTATAGAAATCTCATAAGCTTGGGGGAGGGGGAACAAAACTGTTGGTTAAGTCAACTGAATCTTAGCCGTTTCACTGTTAACGATCAATTAGTCGATTCCTGCGGACTGGAACACGTGGTGGTCAGGATAATTTTCAAGGGACAATAGCTCAGAAGCGGTGTTCAGGTGTGATTGCGTATCTCTATAGCTTGTTCCTGTCATCGCTAGGAAATACACCTTTGAACAGCGATGAGAGTTATATTCTGTCTTTGTTAGCTGAAGGCAGTGTATAGAACAGCCTGGCCATTAGGTTAGGTTGGTTAGGCTAAAGAGTAAGTCGGTGGTGTGATTATGGCTTAGGCCTAATAGGATGGATGGACACACAGCAATCGTGAAATTTACTTCTAGATGAAACTAAACGTAAATCATTTTGAAGTCGTTTAGGCAGCTTCACTAACCTGTTTCTTGGAAGCCTCTTGTACTGTTACAACTCAAGTGACCATCTGAGTTGAATTCTTCTTGGCTGACCTAGGCTTCAAGCGATTAAAGTCACCATTTAGTCATTGTGCAATGCTGATAGATGTAAGGGGTACGCAATTACTCGCAATATTATTAATTCGTTTAATCATGAATTTCTCAACTCAAACAGAGATAGTGTAAGAACAGAAGAATTTCAAGCATGGGTTTTCAAAGGAAATCAGAATCGGTCACACTAGTGTTTGTTTATTGTACTACCATTATTTTCCGTTTTTCTATTTTTTGTTCTCTTCCGAGGTGTAGCGACGTGAACTGATGCAGTTCAGCGAAAAGTTTTAAGTTTGTCTGTCAGCTAATCATACTTCAAAATAATATCCGAAGAGGAATATTTAATCAAAGTTAGGTGGATGTCCAATGACCAAACAGACGTGTTCTCTTCATTTCCTCTATGTTCATATAACTCAGAACACACTCGAGCATAGCTACCTTGAGGAGAGTGAAAAACAGTCATTAATCTGACCAATAAATATCTGCCTGCCCAACCTCAGTCTCAGCAGCCTAGCAGTGTCTTCTTTCTAAATCCCAAAGACCACTGAGATGTAAAATTTATTCATGAAAGTCTTTGAGTTATTCTCCGATCTTTTGGATTCGACTAAGAGTGTTTCGTCGCCGAGCCTAATAACATCTTCAGTATTAGATTTATCTAGATTCAATAGGGCCTACCTCCTAGTCGAAATATATTTTATACACAATATTTTCTGGTCGAGGATTTCATGCAAAACATATCATACCAATATGACTGAAGTGTGTTTAATGGGGAATTATTATCATAGGATGTTTGCCACAATTTCGAATGTAGGACGAGGCAGGAAAACAGCTTCATTCAAAGGATAAAAATGGGCCTCCTGTGGAGAGACATTTGTTTAACCCGTGGGTTGAATGCTATCAAAAAATGTATTCATATATATGTATGTTTCTGCATAAAAGTTGTGGTATCGTCTAAATCAGCCTCCACGTAGTTCTTCTGAGCAGAAAAACAGAAAGAAAGGAATAATGCAAGCCAAGAATTCAGCAAATATGCAAATTTAGTAATAAAAGGAAGCATTCGAATAATCTGAAAGTGAAGACTCTATATTATTATTACTATTATTTCCTTTAATTCCTAGAGGAACATAAGGCATCAAAGACACGTCTCCATTGCGTTCGGTCCTCTGCCAACGTTTTCATCACTTGGCTCCACATCTGCCCATATGCTTTCATCTCTTCTTCACGTGACCTCCTCCAAATCATCGTTGGACGACCACCTTGCCGCTTCCGACTAGGCCTCCACCAGAGGGCCTGTCTAGTGGCGTCACTTGGTGGTTTTCACAGAGCATGCTCAATCCACCTCCATTTCTTTCTGCATATTTGTTGCACAATTGGCTCCTGATGGGTTAGTTCTTTCCCGGAGATCCCTTTCTGTTGCTAATCTTTTCCGGCCGGCCTTCTGATCTTGAGTGTTGAGTGAAGGCAACTGTTGAGGAAGGTCTGTAGTTTGTTTTAGACGTCTTTTCCGAAAGAAAAAGACTCTATATAGAGTTAGCTATTGAATTCCTTGAAATCCTCTGTAGACAGATATGAGCAGCATAAATAGAAAAGACGTTCAACGAAGAGTTATTCCTTCGAACAATATCATTCTCAGCCTGTGCAATCACATATATATAGTGTCAATTTTCTTAGCAATAAAACGAATATTTCCAACAGTCTATCATCAGAATTTTAAATTTTAGACAGCAAATCAGGTAATATAAAATGAATTAATTAGGTATATGCTGAGATAAAATTAAATAGGTAAATTGGGTGATGGGAGTGAATAGAATTCAGCTAAAATTGAATGACAATCTAAAACAAGCAATAAAGGTTAATAAAGCAGGATTTAATGATGGATTCATCAAAACTTCGGTAGAACTCGTCAGCCACTGAATACTCTAC